AAAATTAATCTAACGTTGCTAAAATGTTCATATGAATAGGATATGATTAGGATTTATCAATACAAGTGTGTGTAACACACTAACATGTAACCATAACTATAGAATATTTATTTATACAGAGTAAAATATAATAATTTATTGTATATTAATAATTATTATTCCTGTTACACAATGTTTTGTGTTATATTCAGATTAGGACTTTTCCTGGTCAATTTAAAATTGAATCGCGCTTTTCTTTTACAACTTCCTCTGAGAACTTGACGATACATTTTTTTGAGCTGACTCCACTTCATGATTGTGTAGCGTATATCGGCTGTCGTAGATTTTCAGAACTTGTTAATATTTATCAAAAGTCAGTCAAAATAATATCTGTTATTGCAACATAACTATTTTAACAATCCATCTTATAAAATGATAAATACATTGAGGAAAGAAGTACGAAATGTTTACGCACCCTATTTATAATTTTGGGTACCTAATAAATTAWGAATTTAATTTACCTACTATTACAATGATTAAAWAGCAATAGATAATTATACAATCAATAATTTATTGAAATTACATATTTTTATGAACTAGTTTAAAATATAGATATATTATAGACTCTAATGGTAYACCTAATCAGTAAAAGGWAAGTATTTTACAAGTCATATTGCCTATTTTCGCGTAATACATCACAACCATCAATTTATTATTATGCATATCTCAATACTTAGCACAATTTATATATTTTTAAATCATATAAATATGAAAATAAATGTATAAGAGTGAAACAATAATATACTATTAAAGCCCAAGTGGGGAGGAGAAGGTGGAAGTCTGGGAAAAAATCGTATTCATGCCAGCGAATGTTAAATAATGAGCGTTTATCATCGTAAAACTTCCTGATTGTACCTGATGTCACGGCAAACTTGCCAAGGTCAAATCCTCGAAATGCAATCGAGTCGACTTATCATCATCAGCAGTATCGAATATATTCAACCCCCAGAGGTTTGTGGTAAGCCCCGCCTACTCATCAGCTATTACACCGGAGACGATTGATAAACTCGCGCAATGTTACCTATTTTCTCATATTATACTACTACGCCTGCTAGTGCAGTGACGACGAGCGTTGATGTCTTTACAGTAAATTATAAGGTTATGAAGGTATTATCGTCGCGACCGTGGCGCGTTTTAAGTTTTTAGCTTATCATATTATTATACATTTTTTTCGGAAATTTTAAATTTTTTCAAAACAGTTCACTGCAGAGATATTTTTGTATTATTTCGATTTATATATCTATTATTAATTATTATGTAGTTCCATAATTCATTGGAATATTTTTGATAGTATGTTATATTTAATTTCATCAGCGGGTATAAGTCAGGTTGAAATATATTATATTGTTGGCCACGGAAGATAATTTCGCGGAGTCACACACGATTTTACCTACCTCCTCGGAGGAGGACATATAATGCTGGAGCCGGTGTCGGTGGTGTCAAAAACGGATACCTACAAATTTATACCTATTATAGAAACCGTCTGCTGCAACATGTCGACCGTGATCGTCGTCGGACTGCTCGTRTTATCGCAGTTGGCCGACAGATCGTCGTCCGACGGACAAGTTGAACGAATTCCCGGAATTCCTGCAGTTGATGTCATTGATAATTGGTCGGGATTGTGGATATCCGAGCTGTTCCACCAGGCACTGGTCAATTTCACCGTTCGGCACATCGGTAACTCCGCTTGTAGRGTCCATTCTGACATGTACGACAGACAGTTGCGGAACCATACCAGTTGGGCGGTCAGAAGTGAGTATTTATTTATATATTTAAGCATAATTAAAAYAAATCTAAGTGGAAAGAGAAATACCAAACGAGAAAGTTCAAAAAATTATGAGATGTGTTACAGATAATTGTATAATCAACAATTAATTATGTTAAAAAAAAAGATTATACAGGTTTTTATCAAAAAAAATATATGGTAACACATTTATTAGCAGTTACATTTAGTGAATGCTTTATATCCTTGAAAGGTGACGACTCTGTAACTGCCGATAGCATTTTTACATTTTTACATTCCATCAAAATAAATAATAATATTTTTTATTGTTTTTTTATTCATATACCATTACTATCTACGCAATTTTAGTGCAATGATAATAATAGATTGTCCAAGGATAGATTTACAAGATAGRGAAACATGAGTAGAGAAGCTGTCCACTGATGACACATCGACGATTGAAATGTATTAARAGATTAATCAAGAATCAGACCACGACCCCCTTTCATTGGGTTGCATTTTCAAAAATAGATTTTTCGGTAGTATTATTTAACTTTGTTTTCTTTTAAGAAGTTGTATGATGACTGTTGTTGGAACAATAGGGATTGGGTTGATGATTGATTTAAATTTAGCAATTAAGTTGTTAATAGTTGAGGTAATATCTGGCGATTGGTCAATAGGA